GAAAGAAAGAAAGAAAAAGAAGAATCAAAGGAGTATTAGGTATTGACTAACCTTCTTCTTCCCTCAGTAGTGCCACTGCCTCTCTGCCACCGGATCCTCAACAGAAGCCTCCTTTTCACTCAGCCAAGCAGCATGCCACCGCCTATTCTCCGCCGGTAACCTCCAATACATCAAATCAAATCAAAATTATAGGTGAACCCAGAGCATCGCATAAAATCAAAGCTACATTTACAAATCTCAAAAACCCTAAAGTTGTACTCGATTCTGATGAGAAACTCAGTTTAGAAAGTGTAATTCGAGGAAATTGAAAGGTAGAAAAAGGATGAAATCAAGCCAAATACTTGTCTCTTGAGCGAAATCAACCCATGAATATAGAAGAAATGAAGAGGATTAGGAAGAAATCACCCAAAATCAACACAAACTCACCCACTGACCTCCTGTCGTTCATGGATTAGAGTCGAGCTTCTGAATTTTGCATTAGGTTCGAATGGGTTTTTGAGTTTTAGCAAAATCGATTCCAAATTTTGGAGATTTGGGAGAGGGATGGAAATACTTAGGCCTATCGAGGAGGGAAACTCAGAATTTGGGGAGGATTAGAGTCGGGCTTTTGAATTTTGTAGTTAGGTTTGAATGGGTTTTTGAGTTTTAGCAAAATAAATTCCAAATTTTGGAGATTTGGGAGAGGGACAGAAATACTTAGGCTTACCGGGGAGGGAAACTCAGAATTTGGGGAGGGAAAATTGGGAATATGCGGAGGGAAAGGAAAATGTATACAGACGGCTAAAATAAAAGGGGAAAAAATTGTCTTTAAGAAACAGGGAATTATACAGACTGAATAGGCTAATCCGTCTGTATAAATAGATATATACAAACGGATAATGATTACCGTTAGAATATATATACTTTATACAGATAATTGGTAAACTGTTAGTATAAACCCAATCTATACTAACGGATATATTTTTCCGTTGGTATAGACCAATGTATACTGACTGCTTATGTTTTCCGTTGGTATACATGATTTATACAGACGGATTTTAATCCGTCAGTATAAACTTCCGTTGGTAAAGGGCATTTTGCTTGTAGTGTTCATTTAAAACATGAGAATTTTCTAGAAATTAAATTTTTAGAAAAATTGAGATTTCTAGCAAAAATATCAAAATAGGCGAAGCAATAATTGAGTTATGATAGTAGACTTTACATACATTATTGTGATAATTCCACTAGTGACCAACTCTTAAACATAAGTATGTCTAAGGCTAATGTATTTAGATTTTCCATTATAAACACTCATATATGCTTTAGATATTGTAACCTCACTATTGGAATGCAAGGAAATAGCTAGCATAGGTTGTGGCCACAACTTTATATGAAGCAATAAATTTCTCAAGTATTTTGCTTCCTTGCCCATTGTTGCCAAAGAAATGAACTTAAATTCCATGGTGGAGTGTGAAATGCAAGTTTGTTTCTTTGATGCCCAACTTAAAGCACCTCCTCCAATTGTAAAGATCCAACTTGAAGTGGATTTGTTATCACTTTTATAGTGATCCAACTTGAATCTATATATACTTTTAGGGCCACTGGAAGCTCTGAGTAAAATAAACCAATCCTTTTGTTTTCTTAAGATAACCAAGAACTCTTTTGATAACCTTCCAATGTTTCATGACTTGGTTTACTTGTGTATCTTGATAACTTACATACTACAAAGACTATATCTAGCCTAGAACAATGCATGACATACACTAAACTTCCAATTGCACTTGCATATTCCAATTAAGCAACAATATGACCAAAATTTGTAGTCATCTTTTATATTAATATGTTGGAATTTACTCAACATCTTTTCAATGTAAAGTGATTGATTAAGTACAAAGCATGATCATGTCTCTTTACTTTAAGGTTAAATGCTAATTTTGGTCCCTCAATTTTATAGATTTGCACTATTTTGGTCCCTAAACTATTTTTTGCACTTTTTTGATCCCTCAACTCTAAGAACTACACAATTTTGGTTCTTCCATCAATTTGGGTTGTTAACTCCCTCCACATGGCATTTTTTATATTTTTCGGATGACATGGAGAAGACAACTTAAAAAGGTGATGATATGAACAAAACATTATGTCAAGTGACATTTTTTTATTTGTTTTAATGATGTGAATAAATGATGCGTCCTTATTACTCTTATTTGGAAAATTAAGGTGTCCACTTACCTAAATTAATTATTTATTAAATTAAAATAGTTTTAAAATGACAATTTTACCTTTACTCCATCTTCTACCTTTGGTCTCCTCTTTGTTTTCGGCTTACCTTTCTCCATTCTCCGCTAGTCTCTTTCTCTTCCTACTTCTTCAGCTCTCTCTCTCTCTCTCTTTACCTAGATCTGGGTTCTGCGAAACCCAACGATCTAGGTTCATTTGAACCCAGAACACTAGGTTTGTTTGAACCTAATTTTGGGTTTCGTGGAACTTAGCGTTTGAACCCAAATCCAGGTTTTGCAAAACCTAGCGATTTGGGTTCGTTTGAACTTAGATTCGAGTTTCACGGAACCCAACGATCTGGGTTCGTTTGAAGCCAGATCTGGGTTCCACAAAACCTAGCGATCTAGGTTCATTTGAACCCAATTCTGGGTTTCATGGAACCCTGCAACATGGGTTCAAGGAACTTGAATTTCTGGGTTTTCAAACCCATGTTTATAGATTTTTTTTCTTTGTTTGATGGATTTTTGTTTCAAATATTGGGGTTGTGGGATGGCAATTTAGTGTTATGATTGCTGCAAAATTTTATTTATATGTTTTGGTTTGGCTATTTCTCTTATGAGTATGTGATCATTAAGTTGGATTGAAGTACTATGAATTTTCAAGGTTTTGATTTGGTTTTGTTGCAGATTAATCATTGGTGTTGAAAAAGAACTTTCCAAGAGAGAAATTTATTAAATCTTGGTTTTAGTTTTGTTGTTGGATTTCATTTTGATTTTGTGCAATCAAAAAGATTGTGTTGGTTTGGTACAACTTTAATTATAATTAATAATTTTAATTATATAAATTAATGAGTGTTATATAAATTAATGAGTGTTTTTTTTTTTCCAATGTTGCTATATGAATCTTAATACTACCATGTAAGCTTTTTTTTTTCGGTTGGCTTATCCATTTCATCATTTTTTTCCAATTGTCTTCTCCATGTAATCAAGAAAAATATAAAAAATGTCATAGATAGAGTTAATGGCCCAAATTGACGGAAGGATCACAATTATGTAGTTCTTAGAGTTGAGGGATTAAAAAAATGCAAAAAATAGTTTAAGGACCAAAAAAGTGCAACTCTATAAAGTTGAGGGACCAAAATTAGCATTTAACCTTACTTTAATTCCCAAAATATTGTATGTACTTTATTTAAATCTTTCATTTTAAAGATTGAAGTTAGATACTTTTTGGTCTCATTCATTCCAACATGTTAGTACCAAATATCAACATGTTATCAATATAGAGACATATTATCACTCCATAGTCCTTGGTAAACTTTGAGTAGTTGAGCTTAGCTGCATTATTATATTTAAATCCAATTGCCAGAATATGTGTATCAAATTTTTAGTGCCATTGCTTGGGAGCTTGCTTTAGGCCATGTAGTGACTTAACTAATTTACTTACTTTCCTTTCATTTCCAACAAGTATAAACCTTTTTGGTTGTTCCATGCATAGTTCTTCACTAAAGTCACCATTTAATAACGTTGTCTTAATATCCATTTGATACACAAACAACTTGTCAATTGAAGCTAAAGCCAAGAGAACTCTAATGGATGTTAGTCTAACAACTAGAGCATATGTGTCAAATTAATCTATCTTCCTTTGAGTGAAACCTTTTGAAACTAATCTTGCCTTGCAGGTTTGTTTTAAACCATTGCTGAGGGATGAATTTGTATTGCTTTGAAATTGACAACATGTGCAGGCCCACATAATCTATTTGCCACATTAGACATGCTATTTTTATTTTCAGCTGACTACTACAACAGAGTTAGCATTGCTAGCAGCGGCAATCATCCACTTTGTTGGAAACGTTACAACTGTGATCCACTTCAACATCTATCTTCATATACATGGCCAGACACGGCTACATCTATCTCTATGACAAAGTTGGGCATTTTTAACGGTCATGTCCTCTGTAGCAATATGTATTGCTACATATACATGGCTCCCATCAATAGACAACGGGTTACATTCACACAGCTCCCAACAATGGACAAAGGACCAGATTTGCTATCTCATTTAACCTCTAGTAATGGGCAAAAGACTACACATTTCTACATATCTTCATCACAACAGCTCTCGACAACGAACAAAGGGTCAGATTTCTACACATTTTATCTCATTGACTCTGAGAAATAGATAAAGTGTCATCGCAACTTGGTACGATTAGCGTGAGGCTAGTAATAGTTGCAACCCTGCAATTGGACGAGATGACTACCCTCTAGCAATAAAAATCCATCAAGTAGCGATCAATGATCCCTTGGTGGTTGCTCGTGCATGGTGGTGCGATGCTCGGCGAGCAACAACAACCAAGACCAGCTACTGATGGTGCGGGTATGGCAAGAAAGGCCAACGTCTGTCAGTGGTATTACACCTTGTCATATCAGAGGCCATGGATGTGGTTGGTATCCCTTTTCCATAGAGACAACTCCAACTATCTTTATCATATATTCATCGCTATGGCGAAGTCTGACTTAATGAGATTTACCCCTTCATGACTTGGCAGATTAATGGGAGTGCTCTTTTAATTCCCCATAATTCATGCTCCAACCATGTGCAAAGCGAGCCACTATTGCCCCTCTGGCTACAGAGATGCTATTCATGACTGACCCTAGGATACTTATACAACATGCCCAGCAATCATGCATATCATCATTATTCTTCTATAGAAAGGGGTAAAATTAGCCGTTGCCGATAATCCCGATCCACAACATATTTCTTCTTTATTTTACGTGTTAATAGTTATTGTCGACCAACAATGCTTGGCTTGGGACAATGATATCACAACGCACATCCATATTACTCACTCTTTATTTTGGTGCAATGCTAGACATATACAGCAATATTATACAAGTGCTCACCATGGCCAGTGGACAAAAGGCACATCAATGTTTATCCTTATTATCCCCTTCAATGTACAAGTGAGTATCCTTCTTCGTTGCACATATTTATACATTTTACACTTAAATATTTGACCAAATACTCATTTATACCTTGCTCTTGTTGTAGATAAACACAAGCCCATGAATCTAAGCTCATGGACATTACTTGGGATAAACTATGGGAGTAGTGGCTTGGTAGGCATGGATGGGTGAATGTTGCCCATCTAACGAAGCAAGGTATTCGTGCTAGCCAAGCTTGGAGCTGGCGATGTTGATTGACTTCACCAAAAAAGGTTGGGTGGTGAAGACATGGAGGTAAACCTGATCCCCAAAGTTATACTATTTGATACTAACTAGAAGCTTGAAATCTCGTTAAAAACTAACCAAAGAAGTTATTTTAGTCTCCATCAGCAACTTGTAGCTGTATTTAATGTAAAGGTGGCTACATAAGTTCCATTGTCTTGGAAACTATTGAAAATGGTGGCTACACAAGTTCCACTGCATTAGAAACTATTGAAAAAGATTACATTTTTCTTAGGAAATCTACCAAAATCTATTTTGCTTGGAAAATCTACCAAAATCCTGGGTAGATCTTATTTTTGTTGGTTGTACTCAAGTACCCTCCCAAAAATGGTATTTCATATGGCTAGAAGAATTACCAAAAATGAGTAGCCTCTAGTCCTGCATTGGAACCAGTAGTGCTTTATTGGAACCACTAGG